TTTGTTTGTTTGACCGACTGTTTGTTTAATTAACTAATCTCCTCTCTCCCCTTCTCCTCCCCCAAAAAACTATTTTTGTTTTTCAGAAACATTTTAGGTATTAACAATTCTTTTTCCTCAAACTTTCCTATGTTCCTCCTAGTGTCTCTCTTCTTCTAAAATATCCAAATATGTTCATTTTTCCTGAGGGATGCCAAAACAAATAAATATTACATAATTTAAAATTTCCGGTTAATTCTATTTACCTCCAATGTCACTAAACCCCAACATTCACTTATTTATGCACGTAGATACATACAGCCAAACAATGTATATCTTTTTCTCTCATGGTCTTAAAATATCTGGAAATGTTACTTAGTCAGGTTCTTCTGGAACTTCTCTGGAACTATTTTGAAACTCAATGGATGCCTTGAAAGTAATTAACCCAAGGGTCCTCACATCTCCAGGGTCATCCTTCAATCCTCTGTACCTTTGTTACTTTAAATTGGTGTCCTTGAACTTCTGGAGTACCCAGCCAGGTTCCTTGGGACTTTAAGGTAAGGTGGTGGGTATAGGATGGACAATGGCCAGGCTACGTCCTTTAAAGCACATTTCGAGGGCCTCCCTGTATGTCAGGCACCCTGCTTGCGTTTTCTCGTTTAATCGTGGTGAGAACTCTGTGGGGTCAGCATTATCAAATCCTTTTACCTGCAAGGAAAACTGAGGCTTAGGGAAGCTGTGCTAGCTTGGTTAGAGACGCAGTTTTACATTTAAAGCAGCAATACCCCTTATTGACTGGGCCTGTACACAGAGAGCCTAGACTCACAAGGCACCAATTAAGCAAAAACAAGCTCTAATGGTGTCTCTCAGTCCTGCCCTGGTTCAATGGGAAGGAAAGAGAAAGCTCCCTAATCCACGAGGGGTAAACAGTTTCAGCTTCACTCACTTCAGGCCGGAGGCACTGCGTGCTGAGGTGGGGGAGGGGGTGCGCCCTTTTCCAGTAACCTGCGGGCTCCTGGAGAAACTGGGTCTTGCCTCATCTGGTGAGGGGTGTCATGGTGTTGCAACAGCAGTGGCACAGACAGGAAGGTGTCCTGTTGCCTCAGGCTGTCCTGGAGAGGCCAGTTGGGTCCTCTTTATCTCTGGGGCCTGGGTGGAGTCTGGACTTTCCCTGAGAGCTGCCAGGCACTCAGGAGCTGGACTAATGGGCACTCATAATTCCCTCTAAAATCCTTTAAAAATATATGTCTTTAAAGACCAATCATGCACTTCCATATGAAACACGGTGTTTGCACTTAAATTCAAATCCTGCATTGTAATCTAGGTGTATCATCTTGCTTTACCGTTAAGACCCAAGAGCTTCAACTAAATTAGCAGACACCCTGGTGAGCAAAGAAAGCAGTTCTTGTAGCTTTTGTTTTGGGAGTTCAGGTCCCCAAAAAAGAGTTGTCCTAGAGACCCCTAGCAACAGAGAGATTAAGTAACGTCCCCAGAGTCATAATACCAGTTCATCACCTTGTGTAGGATTTTCCACGTCTACTTAGTGTACCACCACCGATCCTTCAGCTGGAAGAATTATCTAGAGAGGTGATGGCCTTTCTGTTACGGTAAATAGCCTTGTGGGAAAGAGTAGAAGAAATAGGTTGTAGAAACACCACATTGAAGGTGTGGGCCATGGCGTATGTCTCTTCTGTCTCTTTGGTAGTCGCAATAGCTAGCAAGCCGCCCTTTTTTTTTTTTTTAATTTTTTTATTGATGTCTTAATAATTCATAACATTGTGAAATTTTGGTTGTGCATTTTTGTCAATCACCATATGCATGTCTCCCTTCACCCCTTGTGCCCACCCCCCAGCCCCGTTGCCCCTGTAACCACAATACAGTTTCTCTGTCCATGTGTTGGTTTATATTCCACATATGAGTGAGATCATACGGTGTTTGTCTTTCTCTCTCTGCAAGCCACCCTTTTGCTGCGTTATATAGTTATATGATTTTAGTTATTTTATGTTGTCTTTATTTTGTTAGTCTGTTTTACCCTCCACGGGATAAACATGTTCAGTTGACCTGCATGGTAGCTGAAGGTACTTTATGTTTGAATGTTCTATTTAAGATTGACGCAGGGGAAAGATTACAGTAAAATTGATTGTTAAAGGGCCTTTTGCAATTTCCACTTTCCTAAAACAGAACATTCTTCCTCAGCTCCATTAACCTTTATTTAGAACAAAGTAAATCACTGGACTTAAAATTTATGTTCCACGCTAAAGTCTGCTGGTAAACAACTTGTCTTTTGACCAAATACCATTATACCATTATTCAAAGTGTAAATGCCGCGTCCTAGGACAAATGCACATTCTCACTGCCGGCTGCTCCGTGACCCAGAGGCTGCTGCGGTTTGTTGTGTAACGCATTGTGGTCACCAGCACACCTCTGCCTGACACTTGCGGAAGCATGAGTCACCAGTTGCTGAAAGCTTCCCACCAGTTGTTCTGAGCGTCAAATAAATGGATTAGATTATGGGGTTTTTTTGTTGTTGTTGCTTTCTTTTTTTCTTTCGTACTTAGGAAAGACCTATTCTTCAGGGATTCTAAGTGTTTCACAAATTCGGCTTTTGCATTCTCATGGTTCTGGCATTTTAACTTATGGTTTTATTCCTTCTTTAGAGCTAGGGGGGGAGGAGGAAGAGGGCTAGATGTTTGACATTGAAACTCTGGCATTCAGAATTTTTCGATTCTCCTTCTAGGCTGAAATAAAGGGGGTGGGGAGTAGCTGTGTGAGCAGAAGAGAGCCAGGCTCTCAGTGCAGAAGAGCTGGAGAGGCAGAAGCTTGGGTCCTGGGAGTGAGAGTTAATGCACCTGTCTGCCCACCTCACCTCCTGGCCCACCTGGCAGACTCCTGCACTGAATACCCCAGCACTCTGCAGTGATCAGGGCATCTCCAGAAGTCCCAGCCTTGATCTGAACCCATGAAGTGTACACCTGTGGAAGAAGTAATGCTGACCTGATTGTCTGTTCTTGTCTAGAGCTGGAGAGAAGGCAGGCTCTGCTCTAGTGGATCCCTCGTCTTCAGGGGTATGTCAGGATAGTCACCGCTGCTCCCCAAGTGAGAAACCCAAAGGATGGATGAGGAGTGATATGCATGTGTGAGGCCCAGGCTGGCCCTAGAAGCTGCCAGGTCTGAAATGTCTGGGGAGAAAAGACAAGGCAAGGAGAAGAAAGAGGGCTGTGATTATTGACACAAGTCTGGAGGGCCGGGCCCTCCTGACTGTCTCCTTGTAAATGCAGGGATCACATAACAGGTGAGGGCCTCAGGCCTCATGCAGAACGGGGAATCTCTGGATCTTGCAATTTTCCTGCCAGCCTTAGAGGAGAGAGAGTGAACAAAGTTTAGAATGTGTCCCTCTCTACCCTTAAAGGGCCCTGGGGTGTCTCTCCATTTTGTCTGTCATCAACACAGTGCTAGACAAAGTCTGGACCAGAATTCTTGAGGTCTTAGCTTCAGATCCTCTGAATAGAGCCAGGACTCTGAATACTCTGACTTGTTGTAACCCCTGCGATTCAGAGCCGTGGAACCAGGTGTGCCTGTGCCTCCTTGTACAGGGACAGCAAGGGCTCTGGCGCTTCTGTAAGATCCCGTGTTTGTTCAGGATTAAGAAGAGCTTGTTCTCGGGGCCGGCCCCGTGGCTTAGCGGTTAAGTGCGCGCGCTCCGCTGCTGGCGGCCCGGGTTCGGATCCTGGGCGCGCACCAACGCACTGCTTCTCCAGCCATGCTGAGGCCGCGTCCCACATACAGCAACTAGAAGGATGTGCAACTATGACACACAACTATCTACTGGGGCTTTGGGGGAAAAAATAAATAAATAAAATTTAAAAAAAAAAAAAAAAAAAGAAGAGCTTGTTCTCATCCTGTAGCTGTTACCCCTTTTAGTAACAATGTGTAGTACTACAACTGTACCACTTGGCCTCTTGGATGGGCAGGCCTAGGATTAGAAGCTTTGTTTCCAGGGAACAAAAAGCACGCTCCGAAAAGCCCTAAGCCAAGCTGAGAAATAGGTACCTTTCTCTTGGCCCACCCACCTCTTTTATCAGTATCCATCTGCTCTCTCATGATTAATTACTCATTTTCGTCTTACCGACCGTCTATTGAGCATTACCGTATGTCAGGCAGGAGGCTATGTATATTCCCCATGTCAGTTCTGTTGTTTTCCTCATTTCACATGTGAGGAAAGACAGCATTGAGGCTTACGGGGTGAAGTAACCTGCCAGGGGTCCCAGAGCCAGGAAGAGGCAGAGCTGGGACTCCCCGCAGGTGTGGGCCATGTGAAATGCGTGGGCTCGTCCTTTCCCATCCCTGCTGGGACAGCCCTTCGAAAGTGAAAGTCTGCGGCTGCTTACTCTCAGCCACGATGTTAAACGATCATTAAGGTTTTTGTGTGACAAACAGCTGACACCGACTCCAAGCACTTAGCCTTTGCCTCTGCAGATGTTTATGTTTTAAATAAGACTCAAGGACAAAAAAGCCTAGAGCTGGGACAATGCAGTAGGGTATCCTTAAGGCAGGGGCTCCCAAAGATTCCTCAGATCACCGCAGGTCAGCGGCTCTCTGGTGATAAGCCCGGCGTTCCACACACAGCTCTGTGCACATAACAGACACGTAATTCCTAGCTGATTAAAACTCGGCTACTGTTCTCATCACATGTAAGGAGAGCACAAGGAAAGCTGCTTGGGTAACGTTAGTTTCTCCTGTAGACAAACCATCAGCGGTACCCACTAACTCCATATATGTGTCTGTAAATTGGAAATGCCCACTCTTCCTAGGTCATGTTTTTGTTTTAGGTTTTATAAAACACTTGAATTTATACTTTAAGAAAAATGGGAAAGTGTCCTCTGGTTCCTGGAAAACTACGTATGGCTTTATTTTGTCAGTGTTTGGAATTAACCAGGTGTGAAGGTGAGCTTGTCATGTTGTTTTTCACCGGAATGCCCTTATGGTTTTTTTGTCTTGTTTGTGCTTGATCACAATTTTAGTGCAAACATACTTTTGGATGATCAGTTTCAACCCAAACTAACTGATTTTGCCATGGCACACTTCCGACCCCACCTGGAACAGCAGCCCTGCACCATCAGCGTGACCAGCTGCAGCAGGAGACATCTGTGGTACATGCCCGAGGAGTACATCCGGCAGGGCAAACTCTCCATCAAAACTGACGTCTACAGCTTTGGGATTGTGAGTGCCAACTGAAGTTAACAAAGGGGGGGTGTTCATCACCAAGCATGCTCTCAATTCTAAGAATTTTTTTAAGGTCGTTAACTTCTGGACCTATTGATTTCCTGTTATTGTCTTATGCATTAAAATTATGCAATCAGTCAAGTAATAAAATATAAAGTCATTAATTAGAATGAACCATGTTCATCATCAAGGTTAGGAGTTGCAACTGATTATGTGTATGTATTTAACAAATGTAGCTGACTGTCTATATCTTCTTTGTAGGTAATAATGGAAGTTCTGACAGGTTGTAAAGTGGTGTTAGATGATCCAAAGCATGTCCAGCTGGTAAGAACTGTCTTCGTCTCTGCACCTAGCTCTTGGTTGTTTTTCTGATCAAGTTCTAAATGGTACGGTTGTCTTCTTCTCTTCCTAGAGGGATCTGCTTATGGAATTGATGGAGAAGAGAGGCCTCGATTCATGTCTCTCATTTGTAGATAAGAAAGTGTGTCCTTGTCCCCGGAATCTCTCCGCCAAGCTATTCTCTTTGGCAGGCCAGTGTGTTGCGACACGGGCGAAGTTAAGACCATCGATGGGTGAAGTGTGTATACATGTGGTTTATTCAAAACTGAGCGCCTGGAAAATCTAAATTGGATAAATTGTGTGTCTAAGTGAATCTTTTATCAGTGAGACAAATCCAGCCCCCAACAGAGAAATCTAACCTAACAGATAGCTTTTCCAAGTCAACAAGTCGCATCTTTTGGTACTCTGGTAGAGGTCATTATTGGGTGGAACCAGGGCAGCACAAAAAATTTAGTGAAAATACATAGGGAGTAGTTTGGAGAGAATATTTTATTCAACCTTCATTAAGAGATCTGGCCCATTAAAAACGCAGCATGTGTTTCCCTTATTGATTTTTTTATGTACACATCTGTCTGAATGGATTTAATCATCCATTCATTTATTTATTTGTTGAACAAGTGTTTATTTAGTGCCTACTTTGCATGCGCCAGACTTTGTACTGGGTGCTGGGGATACAGGTGATCAAGATATAGTCGCTGCCCTCAAGCTCACAGTCCAAGAGGAGGGTCAGATCAGTAAACATGGAATTTCAGTATGGAAAGATAAGCATAATGACTGATGGGAGTCCAGGCCCATATGGGAGCGTAGAGTCAGAATACTTACCAGCCTATGGAAGTCAAGGAAGCTTCTTGATGGAGGTGACGGCTAAGCTATGATCTGAAGAACAGATTTGGATTTAGGCAGCAGTAAGGATGGAAGGACATTCGAGGCAGAGAGAATCCAGACCTACAAAGGCTCGCAGGTGATGGATTCCAGGGTGCTAAGACTGCAGGGAGTTCAGCATCGTGGAAGTGGGAGGGGGTGAGGGAAAAGCTGGAGTGGTTAAAGTGATAGAAGGTTCCAGGGGTTAGAGGGACATGAATTGCATTCTAGGAGTTTGGATTTTATCCCGAGTCTATTGTAGAGCCATGAAAGGGTTTTAAACAAGGAAATGACATAATCAGAATATGCAGAGCAGTGACCTGGGAGTCAGGAGAGCTGTGTTCTAGGCCTGACACCACCAGTAAGAGCTATGTTACCTGGAATCTTGGGCCCAAGAGGAGCTGTGAGATATAGAGTGGAAGGAGCGTGGAATTGGGAGCCCAGAGATCTGAGGTCAAGCAACAGGTCTGCTCCTTACTGGCTGCTGATAGTGATTCCTTTTTCTGAGCCTCAGCTTTCTTATGTGTAAAATGAGAATAATAATGTTGTTTGTGTAGATTAAATGAGGTGATGTGTGTGAAAGCTCTTTGTAAATTATAAAGCTCTCTATATGTATTTTTTCAAATTACATGTGTGTGTGTGAAGGGATGTTATATATTATTTTATATCAGGTCAGCGGTTCTCAATTCGGGCTGCACATTCCAATCCACTGGGAAGCTTTTAAAATGCAGATTCCTGGGCCCCCATCTCCATATTTTTTTTGAATGACAATCTTAGGTTGGGGCTAAGGGATCCGTATTTTAAGAAAACTCCCTTAGGTAATTCTGGCACCTGAGAACAGGGATCGGGTCCACTGTCCCCCGACCCCTTCCGATGCTCCACATATTAAGTTTGGACTAAAAAATGGTAAGAGACTGGCCCAGGGTCACAAAGTAGTCAGTGGCAAACTTAGGCCTGAAGTCAGGTCTCTTGATATTTAATTCAGTGCCGTTTCTTTGCTTCAAATGAATTTACTCATTAAAATGAAGGGGTTTAGCTAATCTTTAACCCTTTCTCATTCAAAATTCTATGGTCAAACTTATTTCGTGAACGTAAGAGAATATTCCTTAATAGGTAGATGAAAGAAGGTAAAAGGAGAGGTTATTCAAGGTTAACTCAGTGTTTGTCGGCTTCTTGGTTCCTCAGGTCCTGACTGTTCTGGAAAGCACTCCAGCCAGCTTGTATTTTGCTGAAGATCCTCCCACCTCACTGAAGTCCTTCAGGTGTCCTTCTCCTGTGTTCTTGGACAACGTACCAAGTATTCCCGTGGAAAATGATGAAAACCAGAATAACCCTTCACTGCCTCATGATAAAGGCTGGAGAAAAGATAGAATGACTCAGAAAATTCCCTTTGAATGCAGCCAGTCTGAGGTTACATTTCTGGGCTTTGACAGAAAGACAGGGCATAAGAGAAATGAGGACGCTTGGAACATGCCCAGTTCTTCTTGTGAAGAAAGTTCGTCTCCAAAGTATGCAGCCCCATCCCAGGACTCAAGCGCCTATGGTATGAATGTGGACCCTTCTGTAGAAGCTCCAGGCCATTCTTACAGGAGCAGTCCAGTGGAGACTAGCTGTTCCTCCGAATTTTCCTGGAACGAATGTGAAGAGTACAAAAAGGAGTCAATTTCACCAGATGATAAAGAAGAAAGCAACCATTGCTGAGGCCCTGAGTGCAGGTGTCATCTGGGGAAGACATTGCCTTCATAAGTAATGCCAAGAGGATGATGGATGGTGAATTTGGGTAATGCACATCAACAATCTGCACAATCCTGTTCCTTCCTTTCCAACTCGAAAAACAAGGTGGCTTAAAAATTTATTTTATCAGGATAATTGCCTCATGATCAAACCTGGGCTAAATTAGAGCCATTCAGAATTACTTAAGATCATGGGCTCTGGCTTCAGACAAACAAAACAATCAAAACTTACCAAAAAGGGACCGGATTCTAATGTCTTCTCCACCCACCTCAGTGTGAGTGCTCAGCCTCCAATCTGCTCAGTGACTTCAGTTCACTTGGATTCCATTGTTTGGTTTAGCTTGCTTGCCAAGGCTTAGGAAATGTCTGATTTGTAAATGTTAATAGATGCCTTTTTAAAGAGTTGCCTTTTTGTTTATTTTGATCGACCCCTGATATACTTCTGTTCATCCCTGTCAAGCCTGCCTGTCTGGAAATGAACCAGTTCTCCACAGCTCTGACTGTTCTGTATAGAGAGGGGATTCCTGCCCAAGATCTGTATTTCTGTATTTAAACTCTTAGGATAGTTTATCACATATAATATAGTTGTTGACTATTATTACAATTTTTTTTTTACAAATTTAGAGACCTATGTATGAAATTTTAATCATGTAATTTTTGTTCCTAAGAAAGTGGCTGGTCATAAGGGCCTAGGTCAGCTTTTTGTTTGATTCTGTACCTTCTAACTCTGTGCCTTCATTTTTGCTGTTTACCGGATCGCCCCCTTTTGAAATCCTACCCAGTCCCTCAGGGCTCACCGGAAGTTTCCCTAATCTCTCTAGCCAGAAGTACTCACTTTATTTGCATTTCCACAGCAATTTCTGTTTTTTATTTGTCACTTTCTGAATTACATCAAAGTTGTCTGTGTCATCTTATATCTCTTACTAGATAGTAAACTCCCTGTATTAGTTTCCTATTGTTGCTGTAACAAGCTATCACAAACTTAGTGGGTTAAAACAACATAAGTAATTATTTTACAGTTCTGGAAGTCAGAGGTCCTCCGCATTCCTTCTGGAGGCTCTAGGGGGGAATTCATTCTCTTGCCTTTTCTAGCTTCTAGAAGCTATCTGCATTTTTTGGCTCATGGCCTCTTCCTCCATCCTCAAATCCAGCAACATAGCATCTTTGAATCTAGATCTCTCTCTCTCTGATCTCTTCTTCATCACCTCTTTCTCTTACTTTGGCCCTTCTGCCTCTCTCTTATAAGAATCCTTGTGATTGCATGGGGCCCACTCAGATAATCCAGGAAAATCTGTGTATCCCAAAAATCCTTTAATTTAATCACATCGGAATGTCCCTTTTCTCCTGTAAAGTAATATATTCACAGGTCTCTGGAATTAGGATGTAGACATCTCTGGGTGCCATTTCTCTGTCTGTCACATTCCCTGAGTGTGCAGGGGCCATCTCTTCAGGGCCTAGCGTGTTATCCTATACAGAGCAGGTGCTTCCTGATAAATTAAGTTGAATTAAATTATCTCTATGAACCCACATAATCAAAAATTCAGCTGTAGTAAACATTGCTGAGTAAATTAACAAAGTGGGGATAATGGCTGTCTTTATGATGATGGATAGAAACACTGCCCAAAAACCATTTCCAGAGAATTTATGGACTCTCAATCCAGTACTTTTATAATAAAAGGGTAGATCCCTAGTTTTCTGTGCCTCAAAGAAATATACTCATGCCTTTTTTTTTTTGGTGAGTCAGTACAGTTGGGTTAATCATAGTCAGATTGGAGTCCAGATTCAGGAAAAATTAATAGAGAAGTCATCAGGAATCAGGGTCAGGTTAACAGACCAAGGTCAGAAACATGGAGCTACAGTTCTAAGAAAAAGGATCTCGTGGTAGGAAGTGCAATTCAAAATACAATAAGCCTTCCTCTGATTGACAGGCCAGATAAAGGTCCCAGGTAAGCATTTGGGAGAGGCCCTGCTCACAAGTGGTCTGCAAGGGACCTGGCTGCCTAAGGCTGCCTTCCCCATCGGATCATGACACGTGTGTTCACAATGCTCCCAAACTGACCATGTGCTAAGACTAGTGGGGGAAAGAGTTGGACTAGACTTCATATGATTTTAATTCTTGTGACCTGTCCTCGTTTGGCAACTCTGCATCATACGTGTTATGAAAGGAAGCAGTAATTTGACTTTATGTATTGTAAACCATTCTGAGGCCGATTTAGCTTAGAGATGTAGTCTGAAAGTATTTTGGCTGAACTGGGGAAATGAGCCTGGAATCGTGTGAAGTTGCCACTAGTAATTCAAAAGAAGAAATCAAGACAACCAAGAATTGGCTCTAGGTCCAACTGTTTCCACTTTGGATCTGGACACCCCAGTACCGTCAACGAAAGGTCATCGAGGAAGCTCTGAGGAACACCAGACCACGCCATTACTCAGCACATGTGTCATCTGTTGGTATCGTGTTGATTTGAACTTGCTTAGTTGACTTAAAGAAATGTTTCTCAAACTTTATTGTGCATCAGAAGGCTTGTTAAAAACACAGATTGCTGGGCCCGACCCAGTTTCACACGCAGTGGGTCTGGGGTTAGGAATTTGGCTTTCTAACAAGTTCTCGGGTGCTGCTGCTGCTGCTGCTGATGTGCAGGCCGCCCTTCGAGAACCACTGCCTTCAAGTGTCCTCAAGTTGTTATAGATCAGTAGATTCTACCTTCCCATCTACTTTGTATGATTTTTGAGAGAGAACCATTTCTTTTAATTCTTTTATATTCACCCTATTACTTAGGATTTTGTTTACCTTAGAGTAAGAACTCTACAAATATTGTTAATAAATGATCTTTTTTGACTAGATCACCTTGCTAGGGTGTGACTGTGGTGGACTTCTTAAAGACCAAGTCAGATTAGCTGGCAATAACCTGATTAATGATATGGTAAACAGGTGCCACTGTGGCTGGAAATTACCAGAATTTTCTATTGAGTAATCCAGTCCTCCTGACTAGATTTGCCTTCTAGTGGGTGCATTCATAAATGTTAATTGATAGGAATTAAATCTTTGCGTCCTGCTGTGGGCAATAAGAGGATGCCTCCATGGCTTCATGATGTAGAGACTAAGATACATGAAGAAACCAAGGAAGAGCCTCCAAGTGTTCCCTCTGATCAGCAAACATGAATTAGTAAGGAATCTCACTCATCTTCATCCTTATAACACCCCGTGGGCAATCCTCCAGGCAGATCTTATTCACTTGTTAGGGTTTTTGTCTCATTTTATAATTCCCCAAAACATGGAGAAAATATTTTGTTGTTTTTGAAAATAGGTATGGGATTTCTGACACGATCAATTGTATTGGCTTCTTGAGAATTATTCTAATGATCTGTGATTCACTGCATGCAGGTGAAGTTTCATGGTTGGTACTACATCAGCCTGTGTAATACAACTTTCATGACCTGAGGTTCGGTGAGTACAGGAAGTGAGCGTTATCACAAGTCACATTTATTGAGCATCTGCCAGAAGCAAGGCACTGTGTTGGCTACTCAGGTACCAAGTAAGGCGCAAGCATTTTAGGAAGGAAGGAAAGGCATCTGCCCAAGTGAACAGTACGGTGACATCTGTTATTTGAACCACAAACCGTTGGAACCGAAAGTGAGGGTGGACAGGGGGAGGGGAAGGCAGAGATTACTGTGCACATTCGAGAGGGTAAGGAAGGCGTCTTGGAGAAGACTCCTGGAAGGAGAGAAGGGATTAAGAGAAATGGAAAAGAGTGCCCAAGAAGCTCTCCAGGATGGATAGAAGGGAACTGGGGGCCCACGGCTCTCCTAGAGCTCTACACAACCCCGCCTCCAGGGCTGGAAGGATGGGTTGAGGGCGAAGGGAACTGGGTCCAGAGCTGTGTGTGTTTCTTCCTGTTTAACCCTTACAGCCTCCCGGAAGGTATAATTCCTATTTTAGAGAAGAGGAAACCGGCTCAGGTGGGGTATGTAACTTGCCTAAGGGCCTCCCAGATCTGGAGGAGCCGGGATTTGAACCCACGTCTGTCTGACTTCAAAGCCCATGTTGTTTCTTGTCCTCCACAATACACAAAGAAGCCACTGCAGATTCAAGCTCCTACGAAAAGGAATGGATGTGAAAAGTCATTTGTTGATTCCAGAAATTTTCAGTAGGCACTGAAGCCTGGTCATGTCTTCTGCCTTTTTCATTACCCTGCTCCTCTGCTGTAGGACCACCTCTGCGGTCATTTGATGTGAGTTAAGTGAATTCATTCATCCATCCATTCATTCATTGAATAAGTATTTACCAACAGGTGGAGATACAGCGAAACAAACCCAACCAAGATCCCTGTGCTCGTGAACTTAGGTTTAGTGAACTTCGTGAATAAATGAATGAGTGGTGAATAGGGAACTCCGTGGCAGAGCTTTATCTCAGTTCTCACACTGACTGGCAGCTCTCCATGAGCCCTCCACACGGAGCCATCTCAGAGTATTCTCTGGACGTAGACCCTGCCTTCTCTGCTAGCTCCTCGGTTGGGGTTCAGAGAACTTTTCTCCTCGTCCTGTTGAATAGTTGATATCTCCATGTACCCAGCGTTTTGCTATTAGTGTGCACTAAGCAGTCAGCGTCACACTTTGTGGCAGTCATGACAGAGCCTTTTCTTCCGTGGACCTATGATTTCTTCAAGGCATTCATTTGAAGGCTGGTGGCATCTTCCGCAGGCTGCTTCTGCAGAATCTACGCAGGCCTCCCTCACTATCGGCCCATACTGGAATTGCCAGTTGACATCTCTCTTCTTCTCCACAAAATGGAAACCTCCCTAAGGGCAGGGGCTGTATCCTCATTTTTCTGTCCCTAACAGCCAGCGTAGTAATTGGCACATAATATGGCCCAATAAATATTTGTAAAATGAATGAATCAAGTAGTCCTTGACAACATCTTCAAAATCACTGGCGTCTGGTGTACCAAGACTGCTGTCTAGATTGCACCCAGAGTCTGTCTTTCTAATATCCAGACTATCATCCATCATTTGCTTAAATGGTTTCATCTCACCATTCTTGGATAAAAGTTATTAACTTCAAATACTAATATCTGAGCTGTCTTTGAAAAGAGGAATTAGGCATTGTGTACATTGCTTATAAATTCACTTCATGGTGGAAAATATTCCCAAACCGTGT